ACTCAACTCAGTTAAGTGGAACCAGGTCACAGAGCATGGTTAAGTAAATCCAACATTTCATTTTTAGAGTGTATATGGGGGTCATAAGCAAAATCTAGTTTGGGCCACTAATACTTGCAGACAGATTATATAAATTAGATTGTCGGAGCAAATTTATGAGGGGAGGACATTCGTGGTCCTCTGCCTCTCAGATTCTAATTTCAAATAAGGGAAAAGTTGTTGAAAGCTACTGTTTTTGCCCTTATTTTGTCCCTTTAAAGCTGATTTAGATGGATTTCCTATTAATAAATAAAAACTGCACGTGAGGTCCATTATTTTACCTGTACCACTCCAAGCCTCGGTCATAATTCCTGTCAAAGAAGTGAGTTTCTGTCCCCGCCGCTCGGACGTCCGGATGGATCCGGATGAACTCCAGCACGGCTCTGGTTCCTCCCTTTTTCACCCCAACTATAATGGCGTTCGGTAACTTTTTATTGCCAAACTTCAGGTGGCTCATGGGAGGACTCGGGGTGTCGCTCCTGACCGCGCGGAGAGCGGGAGGAGGACGTCTCTGGTCTGGTCTCAGCCGAGACTCTTCATGGGAGCTGGTCCTCCCGGCAGCCCGAGGATGCTGGAGGCAGGGGARGGCTTTGTGCTGCCGCCGCTCGTCCTCGTCCACCCGCTGACAGCCGGATGTGGGATCAGCTGACTTTGGCATGCTGTCAGAGAAGAGCGCACAGTAGCACAAGTAGCAAAGGAAAAGAGATAAAAAGCAAACTGTTCCTCTGAGACGGTGAGAGAATGGGAGAAGTCGACTGAAGAGGAGCACGCATGCCATCTCTCCATTTATACAAAAAGCGCATGGTTTTAACTCATTTTACGCTCCGTTCTTCTTTAATTAATGATTTAAATCTGGATTAATTTAATCCAGTTTAAAAAAAGATTAGACACTTTTTCGGGTCAACCTTTCCATCACTTCATGGTGCAGAATATAATCCACAAACATCCCGTTTTCAAGCGGCTCCTGGAGGTCTCCACGGCCATTACGCACAAAGCAGGAGCGCATCTAGTCTCTCTCTCTCTCTCTCTCTCTCTCTCTCTCTCTCTCTCTCTCTCTCTCTCTCTCTGTCTGTGTCTCTCTCTCTGTCTTTCTCTCTCTCTGTCTCAGCACCAGCTCTTAGTGAAGCTTACANCACACACACACACACACACAAACACACATACGCATTATTTACAGCAACAACGCAGGAGAACACATGAAACACACCACCCAGGAACATGTATAATTTATGAGCCGGAGGAAGCATCATCTGTCCTGATGTGATCCGAGAGCTGGAGGATTCATTTCATGGACTGCACATCGCCCGCCGCATTTAATGCCAGATTTTTCAACAAAGAGTTTGCACAATTTCGTACCATGTTGTGGGATTAATCTCGCGATTTTTTCAGCAATCAAACGTGATAATGATGAGCTGTAAAAGCCATCCTGAATGGATCCAAAAGTTAACTAGTTGTAGATTTCTGTAAGTTTCATTCAAATCCATCCAGTATTTGATGCGATATTTTGCTCACACACAAACAAGGTTGACACAGACAGTTAATGCTAAAGTTTTTTTTTTTTTAAAAAGATCATCTTACGGTGTGACTGGATGAAGTTGTAGCCATTTTGGTTGAATCTTGTAAATGATGCATATAGTGTGATCTCAAGACGTATTGCAAGATTTTGCACAATAATTTAGTGCTCAGAGCACATATTTAGCTCTAAATTTGATCAAGTTAGAGTCAATTTTGTGTTTGCCAAATTCCTTTAGCTGCRGCAGTCATCTTTAGGAAGGTAAACTCCAAAAGTTGATCAGAGGTAGATGTGCATCCGGTGATTAATTTCTGAGAGTTTCATTCATATCTGTCAAGCGCTTTGTGAGATATTTTGCTAACAGACAGACAAATTAATTCATGCACAGGCATGAGCAAAAAACATCATACCTCTGGAAGCACATGATAAAAGGTATGCTATGTTTAAAGATGAACTGAGATGCATCAGTATTTGCATTTTTACTTTACTAATCAACATCTGCCGCATTACGTCGCCACAAGGAAGTTTGCACTGCAAAACTTAAAAGTGGATCTGTAATGATATRAGAACAAATTCTGATAAGTTGCTTTAAAAGACATCAAAATGAGAGATGACAGTGTTTGGACAGAGTAAACAGCAGTCTTTTAAAGGTAATTATAATAAAGCTCATTTCAAAGGGTTGCTCAGTCAGCAGACCACTCACCCTGAGTTTACACCCACCTCATGWGATTCAATACACACGGAGGCTCCGAGTGGGGGGAAAGAGATGACGATATACGGCGCAGTAAAAGTGACAAAGTTGAGACAAACACTGAGAAGCCAGTCTTTGCCAAGGCCAGCTGCTGATCTGGCTGATGATGATAAGCCGTGCACTTTATGACTGAAAGGCTGGCAGCAGAAAATGATAAAGTCGCCCAACAACCAACTGAAGACACACGCCTCAAGAGGGCAATGTTAGCACATCCTTTCTGGCGCATAATAACAGACAGACTGAAGTGTGAAAGCGCTGACTCAGCTGATGTTGGAGGGCTTAAGAGCGCAGTCAAAATATTACATCTTGATCAGTTTGCTGTAGGCTTTTAACCGGTCATCATTCTCTCTTCAGCTAAGATTATATTATTATAATGTGTTTTATCATTTTTACGCTGATGACACACGGCTCTTCATTTGAGTCGATGCATGGCCTCGGTCTCTGTCAGTCACTAAATGTTTCCAGCAWATCAGTGAATAAGATGGAATTTTGACAAGTCATTGTTTTTGAATGCAAGCCCAGAAATTAGAATTCCTGGGCACTGACTAAAACCTGGACTACAGAACACATCACAAAAGTCCTTAAATCATTCAACTCGCTCCCTGTTTGCAAATCGATTCTGGTACTGAACAGCCTTGGGCCCAAATACTTATTTGACAGGCATGGACCATCTAAACCCCTCAGGTCTTCAGGGACAGYTTTACCCAGCAGGAGCAGAACTAAACAAGGCGAGGCAGCTTCTGTCTGACAACCTGAGAGGTGCAGAGACTGAAAACCTGAAAACATCACTTCTTACTGCAACTTTCCTGTTTCGTGCGTTTAATGTTCTTATTGTTTCGTCTTATGCAATGTCTTAACTTGGTTGAAATTAAGGCACTTTTTCTTTGGAATGTAATTTCCTCTTTTAATGTTTTTCCTGCTCTCATTCCAGCAGTTTGTCAGTTTTAAGTTATGGAGTCACTGACAAGAGGACCAAGAGGCACCAATTAATCCCTGAATTGACTTATTTCTAACCAKTAAGGTCATAATTTGTTTTGTTCAGTACACTTTGGTTTAGCTAAGGCCTCAGTGTGATCAAAGGTGTTTCGTTATAACTCATAANATGCTGGCAAAACATTACCACCTATAAGGAGAATGAAAATAATTAAATAAAAGATGGTCAATGCCCCAAAGCTGCTGTGAAGAAAAAAAACTGTGTTTGTTTAAAAATGAGTTTTTTACTTTACAATACATGTATTTGGGCCACCTCTCACTGGCGTACAGCAAAAAGAAGTCAGAAGGTTTTTTATTCCTTTTGTCATAATGAGTTTCAACTGATCAGCTTTTGCATCAGCACCATTCAAGATGGCCGCCACATCTCACTTCGAACTTTACGTCTGTAAAACATTTAGTTGAGCTAAAACTTGGTCTGGTAGTGTGAGYCATCCCCACTCTGCGTGTTACACCAATGTTTTTACTTAAAACCTTGACATTAACTCTCTCATTATGCTATTTTTAAACTGGTGTTTTAGTGTTACATAAGAGTCATGGTTGACATTGAAGCCTCTGGGGTCGCCTGAGTTCAGGGACACTAGAAATGTTCTATTTTTTATTTTTTATTTTTGCAGGTCATAAGTCTGTTCTCAGTGCTAAAAATTGTTGGGGCATCTGTGTGTGGTCATCCTTCTTAGTTTCCCAGTGTCTGATGCAAACACAGACCAGCCCAGGGTGGGGAAACCAGAGGAGGCCAGGACTAGAGACACGCAGAGGAGGAGTTGAGATGTCACAGTGGAGCTCCTGCAGGGTGTCTGCTCCCCAATCTCACAGGCCTCTCTGATTAAAGAATGATTTATAGAGGCCAGTCAGRGGGACCCGCTCGGCAATCCGTCTACTGAATGAGATTTTTCCTCTGGAAGAGGGCGGGTAAATCAAACCTGGAGGCGAAAAGCCTGCAAAGCTCAGCGATCGGGCTCAGTGATTAAATGTTATAATCTGCTCTCCCTGCTGAGACCACAGCTTGGCTTCACCGAGTCACCATCAAAAAACCCCTAAAATCACTTTATCCTAAGTTTTGTTCACAGAAAACACATCTTATCTTAGGTCATTAAGAAGAAGAAAACCTTTTGGGCCTGTGTGAAAGATATAATTGATGTAGAACTCTCAGTTTAATGATGCAAGAAAATGGTTCAAGAAGAAAAGCAAAGAGAATAAAAGTGAAAAGTTCAGGTTGAAGATCTTGATTTAACTCTGAGGAGAACAAACGGAGAAATAAAGAGCCTGGCTGTGGCTGCACATTTTTCATGCAGACTGTCTGCTGGAGGTCTCTAAATATAGGTCATACTCACTGACCACTCCATCACCAACCAAGCCCATTTGTCAAAATAGCAGAGAAGCCTGAGGGGGGGGGGGGGGATGTCAATTTGTCTTGGATCTGATGAGACACTGAGGACAGATACAGATGATCAGGGCAACTTTACATTGAAGATGGATGAGGGACCACATGGATCTGGTCCACGTCCCTCAGAAGAACCTATACGCCCACGTAATGTTCTTAAACCAATGTTTTTGTGTTTATTTCATGATTATATAAAATATGACAAAAAGCAATAAAAGTACAGAAGATGGAAGTTTTAATAGTAAAGCTTGAGCTGAAACACGTCTGTCACATTGCAGGTGTGAATATWAAACAGTGTGCATCTTCTTTTGAGAAATGATGGAATTTCAATATCACAAAATCTCACAATCAGAGCTACAATCAGATCAAATATAGCTCAATGCCTGTTAAATTGACTGCATTATAGTTATTTTTGTGCTAGCTAATATCGATTAGCTGTGAAGACTRGCTACAGTCAGCTGTAGGGAGATAGCCAAAGATTACTTTCTGAAAGCTTCATCAGACCTTGTTAAGTAGTTCATGAAATATTTTGCTAACAGACACACAGGGTTGAACTTTTACCGGTTCCTGTCAAAGTTTCAGGAAAAGGTGACCCATAATGAGTTGCACTTAAGAGTTTTGTGGAATTTGTTAGTCTTCAGAATATGTTTTGGGAAAAGTCTCAGCTACTACCACAAGCAATTTTAGGTCAATATGTGTAAAACGGACAGCGTTTTAAACATTTTTGCGTTTTGGAATTTAATTCCAAAGACTACTTTCTGCAGGGCTCGTTATAATCCATTCAGATTCAAGAGAATGTCATATCACCGCCCCCTGCTGGTCAGGTTGGGACATCGCGGCAATGCTGAGTGATTAACAGATTATAAAGTGAAAGCAAAAGTTTTCAAACTGCAGAAGAGGCAGCATATTAATGGCAGACTAGCTTTAATAACTAAATATTTATCTGTTAATAAATATGAGCATAAATAACACATTACTGTAAAACTCTGCAACGTTTTAAACAACAGTTTTATTGGATGTTCTTTAAAATGCAGACAATTACAGACAGGTGTGTCGTTACATTTCCAAGTTCAAGTTTCAAGTTTATTTATTTATGTAGYGCCAAGTCACAACATACATTTCCTCAGGGCACTGTACATAAAAAGAATAATCTAAAGAAGAAACCATTTCAGCTCGTCTGCGCATGACCTGTTCCAGTTATGTTTTTATGGCGTATTTGACGTCTTTTATGATTTGACGTCTTGTCGTGATAGTCTTTCATGGAATAAATGTCGCAATTATTGAGATTAACCTACCTGCTACCTTGCTTTTATCTACAAGCAAATATGTTTTCTGTAAAAGTGTACACAATTTATTTCATTAGCTCAGCAGTACTTCTTGCACAAACATTGTAGCCTGTTTTTGCTAATACTGTAGAACTAATATACACACATAACTGTTATTTGACAAATTCAATTCAATTCAATTCAAAAATACTTTATTGATCCCAGAGGGAAATTAGGTGTTGTTGTAACTCATTTAACTAAAAACTTATTGTAGATGCTGATGGCTGTGGGCAGGAATGATCTTCTGTAGCGGTCTGTATTACAGCGAAGTTGAAGAAGCCTCCGACTGAAGACACTTTGTCTTTCTATGACAGTCTGATGAAGAGGATGGTCAGGGTTGTCCACAATGTTCTTGATTTTATGTAGTCCTCATATTTCCTGAATATTTAATACTTTAAGAAGTGAGGTTCTGTAGTAAACAATCTTAAAAGACATGCAAAATATCAGTGAACACATAATGTCAGGTAGCTATAATATAGGTTGGAACAAAAACTGTTATTGTTGAAGAAACAGCATATTTTCATCCTCTTTAACTGACTCACCACAAGTTCCCTGTTTCAGCTTTGTTTTGGCCTTTTTGTCATATCAGTTTATATTTCCTTCATCTAACTGATGCTTCTCCACTTTTTTGACATCTTCTTCCTCCTGATGTTCTTTCTTCAGTGTTTTTTTGGCTCTGAAGCTGTTCTCTGTGTGTGTTTCAGTCAGAGAAATCGGAGCCCTTTCAGCCATAAGATCCCAGATAAAACGAGATAAAAGCCTTTAAACGCTCAGCTCCCTCTCTCAGGTGGTRGTGATCCATCTGGGTCGCTACGATCGGCCTTTTTTCATCTAAATAAAGACATCCTGGCCTTCAGCCCAGAAAAGTGTGCTAACATATCCTCCTTATGGATAGTTTCATTTGCATGTAGCACAGTGAAGTAAATACTACAAAAGAACATGATTCTCATTAATCCAGTGCCCTGGTATACAGGAAAGATAGATATAATAATCAGCATCATTTAACACATTTTAATGCTTTTTAGTGCTCACAAAATAACAAGAAAACTCAGCAAATTGTTGACTACAGCATGAAAAATGTCAAGCTTAAAAATAAACAGACAAAAAATGTGTTCTTTTTTTGTATTCTCAGGAATGGTGACAAAGATTTACTCCCTTGTTGTGGGAAACACTTTGRGTTCTCACAAAAAAACTTCTGAAAAGAATAAAAAACAAAGGTGCAAAAATTGAAAAAACGGGAGAAGAATGATGAGACCATTGTCTTCTTTTGTGACAGATATTCAGTCAGCATTATCCAGCATTTCAGGTAAATATGCAAACATTCTAAATATGAAACATAATGTTATATTTAGCATTTTCTGGGACATAACCTGTGTTTTCTTCTGTTTTTCTAAGGAACCCGTCCAGTGATTCTGGTGATGACGCACCATTACTTATGATCCAAACTACACTTTACTGAACAGATCTTGGGACAGCACCAAGGTCAAGCTCCTTGTAGAGTGTCTGTTTTTTGAGAAGACAGGACTCCACAGGTRTAAACGCAATCACGATGCAAAGCAGAGTGTTTATAAAGAGGTAATCACACATTCAAGGCTTGAGGTGGAGGTGTGACAATTTGTTTTGAAAGTTGTGTAGAGGGTAGTGCTATTCCTTCTCAAGAGGCAGGCGAGGCCAGTGTCCCACCTAAAACAAAATCCATTCACCCCAAAAAATAGTTCTTTACAAAAGAAGATTGGAGCCACTGCCAAAAAACTAACAAAAAAACAAACAAACTTTAATCTCAGGATTGTGAGATTAAAGTAAAAAATCTGACTTTTTTCTGATTCTGAGAAAAAATTGAGAATTCTGACTTTGAATTCAGAATTCTGAGATTAAAGTTAGATTATTTTTTTTCCAGTGGTCCTAATCCTCTTTCGTAGTTGCTCCTGATAAACAATATAAATTGTTTATTTACTTGGCTTACCACGTATTATTTGTTCTGACAGTAGACCTGATATGAGGTCATAAACTACAGGAATAGYGTTCAGCAAAACTTGTGTCCATCAGAGGAGATATTCTATTCAAAAATGTGTTTATAGCAGACCCAAACAAAACACAGAAAACCGAGGCCATAAAAGGTAAATAAAAAATGAGACGTTTTTTGTCAGGAAGGTACGAATATATCTGTGGCAACTGTCTGTGGAGAGCTGCTGTCTTGAAATCATGTCTGTGTGTTTAACTCTTGCTTAAGGCCTCAGAGTTAAGATGCAAAGTTGACCAGTTTTTGTTTTTATATTTAAAATTACTTCACAGGACATTTTCTCCCCAAGAAAAATAATTGTACTTTTCTTTGCAAGAAAAAGGAAACAAAATGAAACAATTTTACAAAGCACAATGTTTTTTTATTTTAATTTGATCCACAATTAAAATCAAAATGAGTATTAACATTAGACTAAACCTTTTCATGAAACACAACCTGTGGGGAGGAAGAATAAAAGACAAAACTTTATGGACAACTGATTAAATATGTAATGTCTATCTTTTTCACAATAAATGTGCCACAAATTGTAACATTTGTGTCAATATTGATTCAGGAAATAAATGTCTACCCCATTATTGTTTATGTTCAGGAGCTGCTACTGTCATCAAGTCTGCCAAGTCATAAAACTTTACAAAGTAAAGGTTATTATTAAAAAAAAAAAAGACAGCGCCCCTACAGGCAACGTAATGCATTGCAGCCTTTGAACTAAATGACCTTCACTCTATTTTCAGACCCGTTCATATTTCTATGGAACTTAATGGTGCAACAGAGCCAGAGTGTGCTCAGCTCAAAGTGCAACCCTTCACCTGCATTTCAAGTTAAAATAAATTCTACTTCGGCTCGGTGTACTGTGAACTATTTTCCCCTACAACTTGAATTCTAAAAAAGATTTCATCATTCTGAGATGGTTTTTGTATTTCAAATATAAAATAAATAAATTTCAGCTTCTTCACGTGTATTTTTACATGTCTTTCTTTTAAATATTCATTTTTTTATCTGTTTTTACAGCTTGGCCTTCGAAGAGGTTTACGGATGCTGTTTAGACGTCCAAGAAATCGAAGCAGAAAATAGTTCTAAAGTCTAAAACAAACCTCTTCTTACGATGGATCCCTCAGATGCCAAAAGATGGATTGGAAAAAAAGGGGGCTATGCTTTTTTTTTTTATTATCATGAACTCTTTTAACCAATTTCCAATCCTGTTGGTTGTATAACTCAAATCATTTCACACAACTTTGTAAACCATTTTTCTTTTTGATCAGTTTTTCCTTCTTGCGTTGTGCGGTGGTGCTCATGTTCTATTCCTGCTGCGTGCTGTAGTCATGGAGACATTTTACAGAATGAAACTGCTTGTAAGTCACAATAAAGACATTTTGACAGTGTTTTGTTCTGTATTTGGGGTTGTTTCTTAGGTGCCTCTTTTTGATCAAAACCTTTCTTGAGTCATTTAGCAGTTTTTTTGTCATTAAATCTTTGTAAGAATTGTGCTGCAACCTGAGGGGAGCTTCAGAGGAAGGTGATGAAGTTGTTTCAGCAGCATTGTAAGTTAAAAGGTGCTCTGAACTTAATACTAATATGCAGGGCTGAGATTCAAATTTTAGTATTTTTATTTAACACTTTAAAAATTATTTTCTCAACCTCCTGAGCTTTGGAAACAAGTGCAGGCTGCACTTCCTTCCTTTGCCACAAGGTGGCAGCTGAGGCTTAAAATGACCTGACTGTGAAACAGAAGCTGCAGGTTAAATGAACAGAGACTCCAGAAATGGACAAACTTCACAGCATCTGTTGGGAAAATGAAAAAGAGGGGAATCACTTTTTCTATTTCACTTAAAAGAAACGTTTAAATTAAACAAAAACATACAATAAAACAGTTATTAGTACAAACATAATAAAATAAATCCTGTTGGTTTGAGTCTATTCTACTTCTGCCTCTTAAACTACATTTACAAACAAACAAACAAACAAACAAAAAAAATAAACCCAGATTTATTTGTAATATTTGTTATTTTTAAACATCAGACCTGGGCTCTGCAACTTTAACACCAGCGTGCTGTTTTTATGTTGATGCAATCATATAAAGCCCACATCTGCGTGCGCGCACACACACATCAGCTTATATATACAATCACAAACACACTGTGTCCAAACTCCAAAGTGAGTTCTCACAGACAGGAAATGATGTCAGCTCTTGTCTCCAAGGAGATGGAGACAGTTGCTAAGATACTGTGACACTAGGATTTTTCACTCTATTTTCTCTCCCTCTCTTGTCTGTCCAACACACGCGCGCACGCACGCACGCACACACATTTGTCACCACGAATAAGTCAAAACTGTTGGATCTCTCTTCTTGTCTTTGCACGAAAGGCAATGAGCATCAAGTCACAATGATTCCAACTGAAACCCTTAAAATAGCCACATTTAAAAAAAAAAATCCTTTTGTTCACCAACTGGGCAGCTGTTTTTTTTTTTTTAGCTCCTCACCCTAAAAGAGCAAAAATTAACCCCGGTTGGGGGGGTGTCTGAATGAGATGGAGGGAAGATTTGCCCAGTAGTGTGACCATGGAACTGACTGATGGATGCTGATCAGCACTCAGGTGAAGCTGCTGCATCTCTCCGGTGTGATCAGCATGCCACGTATGTCTCGTCTCCGGCATGTTGCTGCCAAATCCACACCACCCTCCTCTCCCTTGTTCCTTGACACAGCGTTAAGAGTTTATAGGGTTTCATTGGAAGAGCCAAGCGCTCGTTTCTAGATTGGTGGATTAGGCCTCTTCCATTTAGTCCTACACCTCTGGATCCCACCCACCCCTCTAATAAC